TGCGTGCGTGCGTGCGTGCGTGCGTGCGTGCGTGCGTGCGTGCGTGCGTGCGTGCGTGCGTCACGATTTACATTAGTTCGGAAGTCATCAGGCAGGAATTCACCGGGAAATCGATCTTAATATTATTTTTGTGTAATAGGTGATGTGTAGGATCCTATTCAGCATTAATCCCGGTGTACAATAGGTGATTCAAGCTTAAATAAGAAACGAACGAATCATAGTCGAAGAATAGGAGAGAAGAATAGTGGACTATGATTGGTGGATCAATTTCTTAAATCTTGGCTTAAATCATCTATTGACCGGGACTTATACATATGTTTCGTGTTTAGTTATTTTTTGGGATGGTGTAGTTGGATAAATTTCACGATATGTGAAGGAGGATTCGGGATAACTTGATAAAAGAAGTGCACAAGAACGAGGAAGGGAGTCGGAAGGAAGGAACAAGGGAGTTACATACAGTAAAGATCTTTCCGTAGGGCTTTCGCATAAAGCGCGAGTTTAATGTCTCTATTGGTGGAGATCCCCAGACAAAATATTTGGCGGAGGGAGAGAAGGTGATTGAGGGAATTGTTTTATTAGTTAAGAGAGTTTTTCGAGTTCGGAAGGTTCGAGGGAAGATTGTTGTTCCGCCGAGGAAAATAAGTCTATCGGGGTCTGTTTGTTCCCCGCGAAAGTAGTTGAGTAATCTAATTCCGCGAACGGGTTAATCGGTTGCAAATTTTCAAACTCGGAATCGTTGACAGAGGATTGATGTTCGGTTGTGGGAAAAAGGCTGATCAGGGAAGTTTCCGCGAGGAAAGTGGAGTAATCTAGTTTCGCGAACGGGTTCCCTGGCGAAAATAAAAAATTGAGCGAATGTAAGTTGAATGTAAGAGAAGAATAACAGAAATATAAACAAAGCTCTTAGGAAGCGTAGATTGGAACAATAGAACGTAAAAGAAGCATTGAAACGCTTCGTAAACGTTTTACATTTCGTTTTACATTTCTTTTACATTTCGCTGTTCCAATCTACGCTCCCTAGAAACTTTGTTTACACTTCTGTTATTTTTCTCTTACATTCGACTTACGCTCAACTATTTATTTACGCCTTATTTTTGCCAGGGTTAATCACTTGCAGATTTTCAAGCTCGGAATAGAGAGAGAGGATGAGAGAGGATTGTTGTTTGACCGAGAAAAAAGGGTCGATCGGGGAGATTTCCCCGGGTATAGATGAGTAATCTAATTCCGCGAACGAATCGATCGGTCGCATGTAAAGCTGCGAGGTGATGAGCGGCGACATCTGCTTCCGCGAATGACTCTGCGAGTGCGCGTCGAAACTGTTTGTTTAGTTTATGCCTTAGATGTTTCAAAGCTCTCTTCAAGGCTCTCGTTCGCTTCTGCTCGGGGAGAGCCGATAATTTGGATCGGAACACTATAAATAGGAGAGAAGAAGTGTAATACACCGAGTTTTCGGCGACCGCGTTTCTTAAAAGTGAACCCATGGACAGGCGGCAAGAGAGAGAGAGAGAGAGAGAGAGAGAGAGAGAGAGAGAGACAGAGAAAGGGTACACCGATTTCCCTTTAAGCGTCCACCGTAATCCCAAAAGGACGGGGCCTATGAACAAATGCACCGACTTTTCAACGTCTACGTATCCAAAGGGCGAGCCTAAGGGCAAATAAGCAGAAAAGAAAGAAAGTGAAAAAGAGAGAGAAAGAGAGAATGCACCGATTTCCTCGGCGTTCATGTATCCAGAAGCAAGCCTAAGGACAAATGGCAGAAAGAAAGAGAGTGAGAAAGAAAGCGTTCGCTAAGGCGAACGAAAAG